GAAATTGGAATTCAGATCATTGGATCCCCTATCTTGCCTCACAACAATCTCTCTGCCCCCCAAAAAGATTCCAAATGTGGCAAACAAAAGTGGACTGAAGAGGCTAGAGAAGTCCATTTTTGTGCCTTGGACACCTCCCCAAACAACTAAAAATCCATCCGCTAGAGCAGGAATTCTTAATCGTTGGAGTCCCTCAACTTGGACGTAAATAAAATCACTTCTTTATTTTCACTAAACTGAAATTTAGTATTTTCTTCAAGTATGAATATAGGCATTAACCCAGAGCAGAAGAAATCCTTAGTGTCACCAGTTGAAATCACAGATATTTATATTTTCAAATCACATTACAATTGTCGCAGATACCTTGAAATACCATTGACATTCACCAGTACTTTGAAATCATGAGAATTTTGGACCGGTCGCTATGTTTTGTTACTTAATGCATTATTAAAGAAGCACATATATTCAAATACTTTGGTAATTACATTTCAATATAATTGGTATTCTTTGTGATCCGTTATATTTTATTATATTCACTTAAAAATATTCTTCTGAGAAGGGAACCATGAGACCAAAGGGATCCATGGGACACAGAATGCTCAAGGAGCCCTGCTTTTAGGGATGACCATTTCTGAAGACAATATCATGCCCCTAGATCCCAGACCAGCGTTTCCCAAACCTCCTTAGGAAGCAGAAGAATTCACTGGAGGGACTTATTATTCTGAGTGGGGCCTGGGAATCATTTTGTTTAATAAGAGCCTTAGGTGATTTGGGAAATGCTGCCTTATAATCAGTAAATTTGGGAAATGCTGCCTTAGGCTGTGTCTGTTGGAAATCAATAGCCAACTTCAGTACCTGAAGACACTTTCTTGCTTACTCCCACCTTCTGTATTGCCAAAGGGAGTTAGTTATATTCATTAGCAAGTGAGAGTTAACACCACCTGGCTACTGAGAATTCTGTAGTGAGCTACTCATTAGAATTTAGGAGAAAGGTAAAAAATCATGTCTCTAAAGAGCCCTAAACCCATCAGATTTTGGTCTTGCTTTTTTTTTTCTGCTTTAATTTCAAAATTCCCTTTCCCTTTTATGTTCCCCCCACACTCTGCCCTTACCTCACCATCTGCACTGTTCTCATTGTATCACAGTTATTTTCTTAGTGTCTCTCTCCTGGGCCCTCTGTTCACCCACACCCACTCACACGTGAGTCCCTAGCAGCGGCGTGGCAAGGTGCTACCCACTGAAAGGCAAAATAGAGAGATCGGTAATATGAAGAATCTGAAATTCCAGCTTCTTTACCAGCTACGTGTCCTTAGGCAAATCACTCAACTGTTCTCAGTCTCCATTTCTTTACCTATAACATTGGAAATAATATTTACCTCATCAGGTTGCTATGAGACCATGCGTGAGAGTTGCTTAAGCATGGTCTTGGCCCTTTGCAGCTCTATGGACTGCTTACTATTATTTACTTGATGTGCAGGACTCCAGTAATTTTTTTTAAGTTTTTCCATTACACGTGCCACCAGTTAGAGACTCATCTTAAGGAGTAAGCTCCAGGGAAGGTTAAATGATGGCATCTTAGTAGGAGTTACTTCAGTCTGCTGATCAGATCATTTGGGGTTTTTTTGTTTTTGTTTTGTTTTGTTTTGTTTTGTTTTGTTTGGACACTTAGCTGAGATTAAAGAGAATGGGACTTCTCCTAGCAGAATTGGAGATGGGAGAAGAGGACAGTCAAAAGAGGGTGGCACAGGAGAAGCCAGGGGACAGCTAAAAGGGCTTTGGCCCTGAGGGGCAAAAGAAGCAGGGTACCAAAAACCTTGCCAAGTGTGTGCTTTCACTAGACCCCAAGGCCAGCAGCCACCTCTATCTTTTGCACTATTTTTGGAACTCTGTGATGGAGGCAATCAGAGAGAAAGGAGTGCCAGTTCCTAGAAGGGAGGTGATGCAGCGTGTCACACAAAAATCCTTGATGAGCGCATGGTTTTCTCCCTGCCCCTTGCGTCTGCCCATTCCCATCATTTTCCAACATCTGCCCCCTCCTGACTCGACACTCAAGTATAGCAGGGCAGGTCACAGCCTACACTCCAATGCCCTGTCTGCCTCTGCTAGCTGTGCCACCCCCGGTGAAGTACTAGACCCTTTCCCAGTTTTTGTCCTTTTTCTGCACTGAAAACAGTAGCCACCTCTCACAGGACTATAAGCAGCAATAGAGGCCATGTATGTAAAGTGCTTTGTAGAACATCAAGACTTTGTAAGCATTCAGTAAACGTTAGCTAGTAGTATTAATACAGATTATGTCAGAGACCATTCACTCTTCCAGAATATACTTGCCTGCTGGGTACTGCTCTAGGAGTCGAGGATGCAACAGCAAACAAGTCAAAGTCCCTGTTCCTACAGAATTAAGTAACAGTCATTTACTTTCCTAGCAAGTAAGTATATAATTTGTTCCCAAAAAGCTTTAAGAGCATATACAGTTAAAAACAAATTCAGTTTTCATTCAGTTTTCAGAATCTAAACTTTCAAAACTATAGAAATTCCCCAAATGGGGATCCCTGGGTGGTTCAGCGGTTTAGCGCCTGCCTTCGGCCCTGTGATCCTGGAGACCTGGGATCGAGTCCCATGTCAGGTCCCTGCATGGAGCCTGCTTCTCCCTCTGTGTCTCTGCCTGTCTCTCTCTCTCTCTCTCTCTCTCTCTGTCTCTGTGTGTGTGTGTGTGTGTGTCTCTTGAATAAATAAATAAAATCTTTAAAAAAAGAAAAGAAATTCCCCAAATGGGTCATTGGGTAAGTGACCCATGGAAAAGTAAGTTCTCAATAAACATTAGATTGTATTAACGATGTTAAGACCTCATGATGATCTCTGGTTATTTTATTTAAGAATACCTTGCTCCTCAGTCATCATATAAATTCTTCAAGGACAGGACCCGAAGTACATTTTTAAACTTCTTAAAACACATAACAAACCCTCCTTCTATGAACTAAGTATTAGGGGCTTCACAACTACTTGCTTTATGAATGAATGAATTAACTAATTAATTAACTAACCATCAAATAAACCCACAGCAAGCACTGGAGCTTGCTGTTGTCGTAACTATCCTCTCTCACCTACATTTTCACTCTCAGCTTACAGACACAGACAGGTATTCACAACTTTGCAAAACAAAAAGTGAGGTTTACCCAATTTAAGACATAAATTAACGTAATAGACATATGTTAAAATGAGACCTAGTATACAAAATTCAACCTCTGCAAGAAGCTTTTACAGCATACAGCCACCCTATGTACTGAGAAAACCATTCTTTATTCTCCTGGATCCCTTAAATCGTAGTGCTATTAGGACTATACAGTTCCCTTTTTACGAGTTTCTCATTCTCAGAATTCCTATAAATTCATATTAGGTTAGGCCTTATTTATATAAAGCCAAACAGCTGAACTAAAAGAAAGTAAATCTGCAACCTAATGAACAAAAATAATGACTTCTTCACTAGTTTGAACTTTTCATTGTTGCTTTTCAGCAAAATATCTTTGGTCAGGGTTTCTCAAAATAGAGTCTGGAGATGACTAACTATAGGGCTAAAATCAGACACTGAAAAGAAATAAATCTAAGGGGAAAGACGTGATTAGGGGGTGAGAGGCTTTCAGAACCTTTCTTTAATGGGCTAAATCAGGAATGAACAGGAAAGTGTCCTGGCCATGTAATAAGAATCTTGGGTAACAAAAAGTCACCAGAGCAACAGCACCATCTTTACACACTCTCTCGTTTGCCCGATATCTGTTTTTCCCTTAAGAAGCTACTTTAGAGGCTACTGTACCTATTTTTCACTCCCGTTCCTCTTAAATAGCCATCGGTCCAGCCCAGCAGGGATATCATGAGCACCAGCTACAGCTGGGGGCACGAAGCTTCACAGGGTTTCTCTTTGAGAACCATGGTCACCACAGACAGGAAGCTGGCAAACGCACAAAGGCCTCAGGACCCAAGAATTGGAGTCTATGGACACTCTGAAAGTGACAATCTCCCTGACATATCGCTCTGGTTTGATTAGATGATGTCAAACATTTTAAAATAAGATAGAAATGTGCTAGAATCTAAATTCAATTACCTAAGTTCCTGACTCTGTAAGCATTACTGGGAGGAAGTTTCAGAGCTTGGAACATACGTGTAAATGCGTGAAGTTGGGACTGTCCTCACTGGTGCTATGAGTGGTAGAGAGGACCTGAGCGCCTTTCCAATGCCCTGGACCCCTTCCCCACCCCAACCCCCCAGCTCCTGGGAACTGAAGCCAGGGTGTTCAAGGCAGGCACACTGGCACAGACTTATTTCACAGAGGTTCTTACAGATATGCTTCCAAGCTTTAAAAACAGAAGCCAGCTAGATTTTCATTTTAGAGGTAAGTTTCATGACAAATGTGCCCTCCGCTTATTTCCTGAGTATATGGTGAGCTTTCCGCTGTGGGGAGGGCTTCAGAAAGGCAGTGTGGGCACAGTGCACACATCTGCCTCTCACCCAAGCTCTTTCACTACCAGCTGGACACCTATGGGCATCACTTAACCACAATGAGCTTTAGTTGCCTCCTGAGTTTGAACTAGATCAGTAATTCTCAAGCCTTGCTGGATGGGTATGGGGACAGCGGGAACTGGAGGGAGTATTTAAATAATGAAAATTCATTGGCTCCAGCTTCAGAGATTCTGACTCAGTTGGCCTAGAGAAGGGTTCAGAAACTGTATCTTTAATGAGCACCCCACTGTGGACCACACTTTGAGAGACATTGGACTAATTCCAGCTCTAATGTTCTAACATTCTGTGAATTTGTCCTTCCTTGAACAACCATCTTGAGCACCTGGGCACTCCCTCAGCATCTGCCTGCCCTTGGCTTGGCAACAAGAGTACTGACCACATGGAGGGTATGTGGAGGGTAGCCTCAGGAAGACAGCAGAGTTGACTGGGTTTTGTGGGGGAGGTGGTGGTGGGGGGGCTATACTAACAGCCTTGTCTCTGCCGCTCAGGTGACAGGTGGAGTCTGGAACTTCAGCCGTATCTGCTGCGATGTTTTCGTCACCCTGGATGTCATGATGTGTACAGCCAGCATCCTGAACCTCTGTGCCATCAGCATCGACAGGTAGGGCTGGGATTCCCCTTCCAGTAGGTTCAGGCTGCTAGGTGTTACGGGAAACCAGCCTGGGGAAACTGCTCCTGCTGTGTATGATGCCCAAACTTTGCCTTGGAGGGCCCTGGGGTCTCTGCCAAGTAGGACTTAATCACTAGGATATTTTCTCCTCTCTTTCTTTTAAACTATGGTTTGCAGTAGAGAAGAGACCCCTGTGGCAGGAAAAAAACAATCATCCTATAAGCTTTCCTGGCCTTTCCTGCTTCCCCGACCCCTAAAGAGGATTCTGGTTTTGCCTTTTTGCCATCCTTTAGGGCTTTTGTGATTCCTCATGGAGAGCAAATGGGGGATGGAGGAGGGGGAACAAGGCCAGAAGGTGAGCCAACAAGAGTTGGGAGGAAAGTTTCTTGTTACTATTTTGTTGTTTTTTTGGTAAAGTGGGGGAAGAAAGGAGGGGGAAGAGGGAGAGAAGAGAGAAAACCTTGGGAGGATTTGCAAGGAAGCAGAGAGGAGAGAAGTGGATGGGAGGAGGGCAATTGCAGGAACTATGGCTGTGATCTAGCTATTTATTCATTTCCTTCATAGAGTTTAAGGTAAACAAGTAAACAATGATGTTCGTTTTGAATTGCTTTTTGGTTGCTGGTGTGGATCTTTGTGATTGTGACTCAAACTGGCACATGTTCCACCTGAGTGGCACAGCTTTCCATCCCGAGGAATGAAGAGTGTGCTGCCCTGGCCCTGGGGCACTTCTCTTCCTCGCTTCTCCTCTTGTTGTGTTTTTTTTCCCTCTTTTCCCTTTTCCCAGCCTGGGCCTTGGACATCCCCAGGACTCCCCTGGACATCTCCAGGCCCACAGAGAGCCCTGGGAAAGGAGTTTGCTCCCTGCAGCCCAGGGCCTCTGTTGCCACTCAAGGGCCTCCAACCTTCCCTTCTTTGGGTCCCTCCCGTCCCCCATCCCGTCCACCTCTTCCTCCCCCTCCAGAAGTACCATACACCCACTCCTTAGCCTGAACAGGGGAGCTCAAACAAGGTCTGCCAATCATTGAGAGCTTACCACCCAGTGCTAAGGCTCTGACACGCACTCCCTCATTCTATCTTCACAACAACTCAACTGCTACTATTGACTTCATTTCCAGTTTCTTAGGGGAAGGAAGGAATTTGCCTAAAGTCACACCCTCATAGGGAGCAGTGCCAGCACTGGAATTCATGTCTATCTGACTCCAAGTTCATAACCTCAGGCTTTGTACTAAGCCTCCTCAAATCCCTAGCTACACCTCTAAGATCTCCCCTGTGTTTCAAGCCACCTTACCACCTGGATAGCTCACTGGCTCCTTAAAATGTTAAAAGCCAAACCCTCAAACCCTCAAAGCACCAAACCATCTTGACTTGATCATCCCTTATTGGCAGCATCATTGCCTCATAATCTCAGGTTTGGTTCCACTCCTCTCTCTTCCTCATCTAAGCAGACAAGGCTGATAGACTCTATTTTTGCCATTTCTTCCCCAGATTTGCCCCTATCTTTCCTTTCTTACTGTGCCTGCTTATTTTAGGTTCCTATGACCGCTCACCGGACTTTTACCACAGCCTCCTAACTGGTCCTACACCGATATTCCCAGCATAAGTCCAATCTCAGAATTATTCCCCCAGCAATAAAGTCCAAATGTCCATTGCGCTCCCTCAATGGAGCACTGTCTTCTTTGCCATCTCTTTGGCTTGTGGAATAAATGTTAGAATTACCTTCCCAGCCTAGGATTTTAAGTTTTCTGCACTATGGCCTCAATCTATCTTTCAATCTCGTCTCTTTCTGGGTTGCTCCATGGCCTCTCTTCCTTCAAAGTTTACCACACCCTGGCCCACGAAGCCCTGGCAAATTTCTACCACTTGATTCCATTGCCCCTGAACTCTCATAGTGCTTTCTCTGTAACTATCATAAAGAATCTCTAGCCTCCCTTTAGCTAAAGGTCCCAAGGCAGGTCTTCCTCATTTCCCCGCCTTTGACATTTATACACCCCCACCCCCCGGGGTTGTGTCCTCTCCATCAACAGCCTAAATTCCCTTTCATGTGCTAAGTTGGGAATCTTGAATAACATCCAAAGAATGGACCTAAAAACCCCACCCTCTAATGATACTACTACAGACCATCCATCCAGCGAACTGGATAGTCTTTTGACTTTTATCACTTGATTGGCTCTCCAACTGAGAAAGAAAATCAAAGAACATGGCCAGAAGGCTGGGACTCACACCATTAAAGAATGTGTTTAAAAATAAAGGGAGATAGTTGCATAGTTCTATAAATACACCCCAAAACACTGAATTGTACGCTTTAAATGAATGAATTGTGTGATATGTGAATTATATCTTGATAAAGCTGTTTTAAAATGAGGGGATCGTTAGGGATTTTATAATATTTTTAGCTCTCTGAGAATAGAACTCTGCTTATAACATGTAAGCCTTTTGTGTGATTTCCGGACATTTAGTACCTAAATATATAAGTGACATAAGTAGCAGCCTGCATCTGGTTTGCTGTATCATCACCTCTACCACCCAAAAACTCTTACAGTAGTCCTCGCTCTTCATCACCCATGTGCCTCCCTGCTGTGCCAAGTACAGACGTTGAACAAAGAATATTAAACTGAATTGAGTGGTCCTTGCCTGAGGTAGCCAGGGTTTAGAGCACAGATATGCCCCTTCAGAAAGAACATGAGCGACTGGGTGAGGATGAGCCTTGGAGCAGGGAGCTAAGAGGCAGCCCCCCTCCTGGCTTCCCAGTTCCCAGCCTTCCTCTGCACTCTCTTAAGATTGTGCCTCCACACTCCACCCACACACAGTCGCACACGTGGGGCCTGCAGGTGAGGTGGTACGGGCTGTGTCCCGCACAAGCGTTTGGGAACTGAGTTCAGCCAGTGTTTCTTTGCAAACCTTGAGTCGGCCAGGAGAGGGTGCCTTTTTCCAACCTGCACGAGAGCACCATTTCACTGGCAGCAGCTGCCCTTGACATACACTTCCACTTTTCACCACAACCAACAAGAATAAACCTTGAATTGGCTTCTGTCCCATGGAGGAAAAGCCCCAGAATGCATTGCCCTCACCACCTGAAATCTGAAGAACAAGCCATGCCTTGGCCCCAATGGAGAAGGAAGCTTTCTTCTTGTATGTTGACATGAACCCATCCTCATCAAACCTAAAGATGGAGCCTCTTCTCTGTTCTAGGAGTGAGACTCGGCCTTGGAAAAGCTGTCTCCATCATCCTTCACGGCAGCGTGCAGTACACAGCATTAAATTCTGTTCATGGGATGCCAAATAGCTGGTCAATTCATTAAAAATGCAGTCATTCATGCAGACCTTTGGTCTGCACACAATGCTACTCACCAGTCTGACAAACTTGACCAAATGGATTCAGCATTTTTTGGCCATGAAGCCCTGGTATGTAATAACAGGGTAGTAAGAGCTAGGAAAGGAAATGAAATGATAAAAAGAGGTTTTGAAAGCAAGTAATACTATTGTCATTAGATTCTTAGGCATAGCCCTGGATGCTTGGATTAATGCTGCCTTTTCTTTTTTAAAAAGCACAAGCCCCTACCCCCCCCCCCTTGGCGCCTTGCCTCCCCAGGGGGCCAGCCCCCTCCCACAGCATCCTGGGTCAGAACTAGCTCAGGGAGAGGGCTGAGAAAGTGTCAGAGGAGGAGGACGGGTTCTGATCGGTGAGAATTAGAGTCCTCCGCTAGGGGCCCAGGAATAATGCAACCAAATTCATTCACCAGGGAGTTCTTTAAGTGGCTCTCAAATGGCACCCATCACACAGGCAAGCCTCCGCGTCTTTGCAGCAAGCACAATAGGTACCAGATGAGTCACAGGCACCTTGGATTTTTCGTTTGCATCTAAATAAGCACTTTATATTTGCAAAGGGCTTTCCAGTCATTTGCAAAAAGCTTTCTCCTTCAACAATTCCACGAGGGGAGTCCACAGAACTAAAGATTTATTGAGCCCCCTGTCTGACCAAATAAAAGGTGGTGAAAAGCAGCCCGCACAGAGCTCTGGGGCTCATTAAACCCAGGCAGGGAGTTAGACTCCGGCCCTCCCACCCAGGCCAGCCTCCTTCCTCCCCCACTGCCCGCTTCCTGAGGGGGCACCCCCATCGGTACCCCCCCCCACATACACACACACCTTCTGCCCTAGGACAGGGCTTCAGGTGGAGGTCACATTTTGCCAGGATCCCAAGACTTTCGGTAGAGTGACAAGCCTAGGACCCCCAGTCACAGACCTGGGAGTCAGAGACGTCACATAGGCTCTCAGGGGCTCCCGCAGCCTCTTGGCCGAGTCTGGGGCTAGAACCCGGGCCTCCCGACTCCATACAGTGAGCCCCCTCACTGGCCGCAGTAGGGCTGGGGCACCAACGGCACTCCCCTGGCCGTGCCAGCACCCACCACTGACGCGCTATTTCCTTGGAGTAGAAGAAGCATATTGCCCACGTCTTCGTGCCCTGGCTCCTCCTGCTCATCTCAACTTGCATGAGTCTAAACACAGCTACCATTTCTGGAGCACGTACACGGGCCAAGCAAAGAGCTTTTCACTATTGCTAACCCTCACGATACCCCGCAAGATAGGGGTGTTATCCTCACTTCACAAGTGAGGAGTGTGAGGCTAGACTGTGTAGCCTGCCCAGCTCACACCACTGGTAGGCGCGGGAGTCACAATGCAGTCACCCAGTCACCGTCTGTCTTGAACAGCCCAGAGCTGCGGGCCGCAGGGGCGCCTACCACCCTCTGGGCCCCCAGCTCTGGAGCCCCCCTGCTGCCTGGCTACGCCCTCTGGGCCCCCCAGCTCTGGAGCCCTCCACTGCCTGGCTACCCCTCTGGGCCCCCCAGCTCTGGAGCTCCCCCCAGCCCCCGCCTGGCAACCCCTCTGGGCCCCCCAGCTCTGGAGCCCCCACCGCCTGGCTACAAAACCCGCCTCTCCCTCCTAATAGCAATGTGACCCGCAGCAAGGCCGTCAACCTCTCTGGGCCTCAGCTCCCCTAACTGCTCCGTGGAGATCACAGCAACAAGAGTTATCACAAGGATTAAATAAGTGAATATATGTGAAGCACTTCCAACAGTTGCCTGGCATAGAGAAAGTTGACATACTTGTTTGTTTGATCAATACCTTTCACGTTTCTTTTAAGGTTCCCAGGAGCAAGGGGACAGATACCCATAAATGCATCGATAGGAAGAATCACAGATCCCTCGGGGCCGGCACCGCAAGATGACAACAACAGTAACAATACTGGTTTTTTGGATGCTGAATAGGTACCAGGCATGGTGCTAAAGGACTTCGCAGAATCTTTTTTTTTTTTTTTTTTAATGCATGAGAGACACAGAGAGAGAGAGGCAGAGGGAGAAGCAGGCTCCATGCAGGACTGGATCCCGGGTCCCCAGGGTCACGCACTGGGCCAAGGCAGCTCAACCGCTGAGCCCCCAGGGCCCCCCCCCCCCCGCAGAGCTCAGCTTAGGCAACGTTCCTAACAGCCGCCTCCTGCTGCATCGTTTCCCCTAAGGTGCAGATAAGGACACTGAGCCTCAGGGCAGCCTTAGTCCCCCACCCTCCCCCCAGGCCACACCGCTAAGCGCAAGAACGGGGATTCCCAGCTCCCCGGCTCAAGAACCTTGCGCCCCGCCGGGGTCCTGGCCACGCCAGGGAGCGCGCAGCGAGCCAGGGGAGCCCGGGAGAGGGGGCGAGGGGGCGAGGGCCGTCCGGGGGGCGCCGAGGCTGAGCAGCCGGCTCCCCTCCCCTCTCCCTCCCCGCCCCCCCACCCGGCCCGGGAAGCCCGCAGGTGCGCGGCGCCGGCAGCTCTCGCTGCGTTAGGGTGCCCTCCGATGGCCGGCTGCGGAACTGCACCCCGCTGCGACCCCGCGGGCGGGCTCCGGGCCGCGCACCCTGCGCGCAGGCCAAGCCCGGGGCGCGGTGCTCCCGGTTGATTCCAAAGGTTCCGTCGTGTCCCCCCCGCCCCCAAAAAAATACAGGGGAAAAAAAATGAAACGTCATGATGCTAAATGTATTTCATCTCTCACCTCTTCACCCGAGTTAAGGATTTCCCGCACTGACTCACGTGCGTCTGCAAGGTGCGCTCCCCTGGTCCACATGCACATTTCTGGGCTCCCCTCCCCGAGGGCTTGATCAAGGTAGCGTGGCCTGGGAATCTGCATTTTCACAGGCCCGCTCCCCTCCCCCTGCCCCCGCCTCCGCCCCAGGTAATTAATAGACTCTAATTGGGGGAAGTTCTGGGAATCCAAAGCGGTCTCACAGAGAATGCCCTCGCTCATGCCACCTGTCCTGAGGGAGCCCTCGTCCCCACCAGGCCTCAGAGGCCCTGCAGCGCCCTTGAGAGGGAGCGGGGTGTGCAGGAGAGCTGCAGACCTCAGGTGGGAGACCGGGCTCTTCCGCCCCCCTGTGGGACCTTGGGGTTCATCAGGTATCCTCTCTAGGTCTCCAATTCCTCCTCTCTACAGTGGAGCCCGTGGTCCTTAAATCCACTGAATTAACAGGGACTTCTAAGGAGTTGCTGAACATGTATTAAAGTGCACCTGGGACGATGCGCTCAGCGGTGTGCTGGGAGCCAGCTCATGAGGACTCGCAAGAGCTGGAAGGCAAAATTTTAGGAATTTTTTGAGCCAGGGATTAAATCTTTGGTGTAGCTTTAAATAGGCAATGGTGAGAGTATTTATACCATGAAAATTGACAAATGGTACAAATGAGAGCTGTTTTCGCCTGGAGAACCAGTTGTTAGCTATTTAGCAGCACACCACTGAATGTATGCGATGGTCAGGCTCCTTTTGTTTTTTTTTTTTTAAAGATTTTTACTTGTTTATGTGACACAGAGAAAGCACAAACGGGGGGAGCAGCAGACAGAGGGAGAAGGAGAAGCAGGCTCCCCGCTGAGCAGAGAGCCCGACATGGGGCTGGATCCCAGGACCCTGGGATCATGACCTGAGCCGAAGGCAGATGCTTAACTGACTGAGCCACCCAGGCACCTCGGTCAAGCTCTTTTTCATCAAAAGGTGTTAGGTGAATAGAAGGTAAGGGGACAACTGCAGGTGTGGACAGAAGGAAGTTGGTCACGCCTTTCTGACCCCAGCTCCCATCAGCTGTTTGGTCACCAGAGTGGTTTGGGCTCAAGGCTAAACCTCTCTTCCAAGGCACCTGCAGGATCACTGCTGGGGGCCAGACGTATTTGACTCGTAGCCCAGCCCACTGCCCCAGCAGTGTCTGAAGTCCTAAGGAGAGTGACAGGCCTAGAGGAACACCAGGTACTATTTGCCAGCTCCTTGATCAAAGGGAGGATTTACAACACGTGCATCAGAAGAGGGGAACTGAGTTCTCACGGGCCTCCTTTGGGGTGGATGCTTGGATCTTTTTTTTTTTTTAAGATCTTTTATCTATTGATTCATGAGAGACACAGAGAGAGAGGCAGAGACACAGGCAGAGGGAGAAGCAGGCTCCATGCAGGGAGCCCAATGTGGGATTCGATCCCGGGACTCCAGGATCATACTCTGGGCCAAAGGCAGGCACTAAACCACTGAGCCACCCAGGGATCCCCAGTTGCTTGGATCTTAATCTGACTTTATTAAATACGGACCCGTTTCTCCCTCTTGAGAAAGAAGCTACCTCTGTCACACATCATGGTACCAAGGTCAAGTCCTGTAGAGCTGACTCTGAAGCTGCTCTTGTAGAAATAAAAATCCTAACACACAAACCCTAAAGCCAGATGCACAAGAGGTGATGGCACAGAGAGGAGCACGTGTGCCACAACCCTTCCAACCCAGGGTCTGTTCTTCCCTTCCTCAGCCCCAAGCCTAGAGGGACACACAAGAGGAGCTAAGAAGGATCCTGCTCTGAATCTGGCCTTTAGCTTCCGTGAACACTGAAGACGACAAAACTTGAGCCACAGCTACACACACTAGATTCCTTGAGCTTGGTTTAGAATTGTCCTGTGATGGGGAAGGCCTTCAGGATCCACGAGGCAAGCAATCAACAGCTTCTTACCACTTGCTTGGCACAAGGACCCCTGAGGAATACCAAGGCTATCACATGTTTTGAGTCACCAAGTAACAAATCATATGGGAGCTATGTCTCTCCAGCCATAAGGCATGCAGTTGTCTAGCCTCCTTATTGAACTTTCCCAGTCTCTTTTAAGGGATTACCTGGTTAAGCCAGGCCCACCCAGGATAATCTCCCTTTAAAAGATTAACTCAGTCTATTGATTAGTTATCTAATCACAGCAGTGACATCACATGTTATTCTCAGGTTCAGCCAATAGTCGATGCAGAGGATTGTATACGGGGCAGGAATCTTGGGGTCCATTTTAGAATTCTGCTTTTCTAAAGCAGTTTCCAGCTGGGGGGTCAGGGATGGGGAGGACGTGATGAAATCTACTTTTAGAGCCTGGCAACAGGGACCAACCAGGAGGCTGTGGCCATCACAGGGAGCAACTGGTAGGACAGAGATGCATGGATAAATGGGGAAGACATAAAAAGCAAATGTTTAGGGCTGGCTATCTTTCTGCTTAGTAGCTGGAAATGTGTGAGAGGAGTTGCCACAGAAAAGACAACATCCAATAACACGAGGAACTATGCATTGACCGTGCAAAAGCATGTGCTGTAGACCGAATGTTTGTGGCTCCCCCAAATTCATATGTTGAAATCCTACCCCCCAAAGTGATGGTATTAGGAGGTGGGACCTTTGGGTGATGATGATGAGGTCATGAGAGTGGAGGCCTCACGAATGGGATCAATGCCCTTAGTAAAGAGACCCCATAGGGTTCTCCTTCACCCCTTCTGCCGTGTGAGGCCACAGTGAGGAAACAGCCATCTATGAACAAGGAAGTGGGCTCCGACCAGACATTGAATCCGCCAGTGCCTTGCTCTTGGACCTCTCAGCCTTCTGAACTCTGAGAAACAAACGTTTGTTGTTTAAGCCACCGAGTCTATGCTATTTTTGATATAGCAGCCTCAATGGACAAAGAGAGCATGAACACTGGATTTTGAAATAGGCCTTCACTGGATATTACTCATCTCTATTTTTAAAATCTCCACCACTTGGAATAGTTGTCACTATGAGGGTTAGAACTTATATTAGGATGCAAGCAGGGGTAAGCATCCTCTTTGGGCACAGTTCTATCATGATCTGACAAAGATGGGAGAAAGTAAAGGCACACAGACCAGCACCCAGGGTCTCGGGGGGGTTAGAGTATGTGATTACAAGTTTCAGGTATGCTGGGCCTCAGCCACCACCGGCAAAGAAGCCTTCCAGCTGCCCTGTCTGTTCTTTACTAACTTTATTCTTCTCCTTTTCCCTGCTCAGGGAGTTCTTCATCCCTCTCATCTCAACCTTTCTACATTTTCACTCAACTACCCTTTCTCTCTTTCTCCAACCAAACTCTTTTTCTCCTGCCGCACGTATCACCTAGATTAGTTCTCTAGGAACCTCTATATGAACTTGTCTGTTGAGCAATTCCCCCAACCCTTCTCCTCATGTCTGTCCCTCTCTGCTTCCTTTCACAGGTACACCGCGGTGGTCATGCCAGTCCACTACCAACACGGCACAGGACAGAGCTCCTGCCGGCGCGTGGCCCTCATGATCACGGCCGTCTGGGTACTGGCCTTTGCTGTGTCTTGCCCTCTCCTCTTTGGCTTCAACACCACAGGTAACAATGATGGCCCCTCTTACAACACCCCTATGGTTGGTTCAGAGCACACCTGAGAGGCTGTGGGTGGTACTTAGCCTGGAAATTTCTGACCTTGATCAGCATACATCATAGTGAAATAGGGCTGCCATGGACAGCAAAGCTTTGGGTTTTGATTGAAGTACAAAGCAAAAACTTCATCAATTACGGGCCCATAAAGTCTGGCCTCTCCTTATTTTGAAAGAAATGTCACGGTATTCATTTGAAGCAATGTGCCAGTTAAAAAATTAAACTATATTAATAATTCACGTGAGATTTGCTAATGAAAAGAGGACAGTTCACAATGGACTTACAATGCAAAATAACATTATACAAGCCCTCAGACAGGATATATATTTCTAATTTTTTACTAAATAAAAATCATTTCTGCATTTGGGAACTAGTATAGATCCCTAAATTATTGAAGACTATATTTCTTTTATCTTGATACACAAAAAATTCTGGCTGAGATTGTTGGCACGTGGTACATCTTCTATTGGATGGATGGATGGATGGATGGATGGATGGATGGATGGATGGATGAGCAATGTGAATATCTGAGATGTTTGGTTTTTAGGCATAAGACACTGATCCAAATTTACACCTCATATGGATCAGTGCCTTCTTCGGCTGTTCCGTATACATCTTTCAGCCTCAGGAATTTCATGTGTTGAGTGAAAACTATTCGCACATATAATAAAATTACAGGTATTGACAATAAACACTGAGTATTTGCCGAGAACTAAATGAGTCATGTTCTAGTGTTCATCTGGATTTGTTTAAGTCCTACTATCTTCCAAGTTCATTAGTTTCTAGTATATATAAGTCACACAGCTGTGCATTTATATGCATACAGGTATTATATATAACACCTTGCATATAAATATGGGCAAATCCTAATTCATAGAGAGTCATCAAAGACTCATCTGCTGGCCAATGATTTCAAAGTCAAAACACGTTTATGAAGCCAGATAGCAGCTCTGGAGTAAGAAAAACCTCCATTCAAACTTCAGTTCTACTACTTACCAGCTGTGCTCCTTGAACAAGTTAAACTTTTCTAGGTTTTCTTATTGATAAATTTGGGATAATAATACCCTAAAGCATAAACTTGAGCAAATTTAAATATATAAAGTGAGTCTCTATATTTAGTCAGAATGTTTCCAACATTTATTTTTATATATGGCCCCCCTGCCAAGCAGCCCAACAACTTCATTTCTAAAAACGCCATGTTGTGTTTGAACCCTTCATAATACATGACATATTAATGTATGTATCATACATCTTTACTCACTACTCTTCAGGGCTGTAATAAAACCGTCTATATCTTTGCATGTGATTCAGGAGATTTTTCAAAGCAAATTTCAGCTCTATATGGTGTTCACTTTAATCACTGACTTTCGAATCTGACACTACATATGATATAATTCCACGGTACTTGCTTCATAGAGCTTTTTTTTATGATTAAGTGAGGATTAAATTGGAATAACATGTAGACCTGCCAAACACACACCACACGCTCAAGGTCAGGCTTCTTGTCTGCTACGTTGAAGGTTAAGTAGCTGAGTTATCCAACAAGTATTTGCCTAGTTAACTCAGGGTGTTCCTAAAACATGATGTTACTATCATGTTTGCATTACTGTTTACCATTAGTTACTTTGTCATTTTCACTGACCACACTTTCTACACACAAACATGGTTGTGGACACACACATACTCCCCAAAGCAACATTTCCTAACTCTAACATTTCCAACTCTAAGAGGCTACCTGGTGTTAAAATGTTCTTTTTGATGAGTGTTAAATATGCTTTTGAGGTTAGTCTGATAACTAAGCCACCTTCTATATCTTAGTTTCTATACAAAAAATATTACTCTTTTTTTAAAGATTTTATTCATTTATTCATGAGAGACACACAGAAAGAGAGAGAGAGGTAGAGACACAGGCAGAGTAAGAAGCAGGCTCCATGCAGGGAGCCCAATGCAGGATTTGATCCCGGGTCTCCAGGATCACGACCTGAGCCAAAGGCAGGCGCTAAACCGTTGAGCCACCCAAGGATCCCCCCAAATATATTATTCAAAGTTAGAATCTGTAGTATGGGAACTCACTACCACTGGTAGACCACTGCACTGCTTACCCCTAGCCGGCAGCAAATCCCCAATATTCACTCAGCTGAGTGGCTCTTCTTATTCATCCTGGGAGGTCGGCGGGGGCTGTTTTACTCAGTTCCACAGATACAGACACACACACAAACCTCGTAACAGTTAAAAACAGTCTCAAAATCTGACATTAGACAGAGTTCCCAGATAATGTCAACATCTAAAGTGAAGATGAATGATGAGCTAATTGCAGTGTTGTTGCCACCAGTGAGATCATTATTATTCCAGAAACAAAACTCAGAAAAATCTCTCCAAAACGATTTTCAAATATAGAATTGAGAAGACAAAAAAATGCCTGTGGCTTAGCATGTACACTCTCACTTCCCCTCTCATCTCTTTAAATCTCTCTCTTACTTTAAAGAAGTACATGATTATTCTATTGCAGCTTTTTAAAGTTTTATTTATTTATTTATTTATTTATTTATTTATTTATTTATTTATTTATTTATTTATTATAGTAATTTCTACACCCAACATGGGGCTTGAATTCACAACTCCAAGATCAAGAATCACATGTTCTTCTGACCAAGGCACCCAGGCGCTTCTCTCTCTCTCTCTCTCTCTCTCTCTCTCTCTCTCTCTCTCTCTCTCTTACTTTTAAGTTAATAAGACTATAGGAAGCCCTCCATCTATTCATATATCACATCCAAGTGTCAGGTCCATAGTAAAGGCCCAATGGATATTAGCTATTGTTATCGTTGTTATTACTGTATATTAGAAAAGATTTCTGTGTATCAAAATTTAACTATGCACCTGCTCCAAAGAAAATCTGAGCAGCAATAGCTCTGCTGGTGGTTCTAGAGACCACTCACCTCATCCTAGAACACAGTTCAGGAAACTAGTGAGCAGAACTCAAACCTAGCCATCATTCTCTGCTTCGGTCTGACCTTCACAGTACAGCTTCATTATCTTGATGGATGTGGGTTCCTCTAGCACCTCTTCCATCTATAAGGAAGTTCCCAAGTTCATTCAAAAGCCCAATATAAATGACTTCTCTCAGCCATTTGTTTCTAGTCACCCTGTGAAAAGAAAAGCAGAAAAGGGCAGGATACTGCCAATGACACCTGATATCAGAAGTGGCTGGATTTTCACAAAGCAGTGCCACACAAAAGAACTTTCTGGCAGAGCTCTTTTTAATGAAATGAGCTGCCATGTTTGATTATGAATTGTCTGACAACATAAGGCAGAAAAATGTTGAACTTCAGTTTCTTCCTCTTGGCATTGTTCTTATTGTCCAAGAAAAGGGCAACACGCATTTCTGGATGTGCACATAAGGCAGGATCTTGGGTCACAGAGAGTTCCAAGGTTGGGGGGTGCCTGGCTTTTTCTCACCCAGAGTAGGTGCCCCATAAACTTCTGTTGAATGAGTGAGTGGATGAGTTCTTCTTTATCATCCTTTTTTCCTTAAATGTTGAGATTTGTTGGGGGTAAACATCCTCGATCTCAGAGAATGAGAGTAACCCTCTGGTGTTCATTATCCTCCAGCCGGCAACTGCTTATGGTTTATGTAAAATGCTCATTTGTCTGCTTTGCTCAGGTATTCACCATTCGTGTATTCATCCAATAACTACTATACTAATAGCACAGTACTATTTTGGTTAAATAATCAAGACAAGGCATTTCATCTCCTGGGGGGCCTCACAGTCCCTCGTCTGGGACTCAGCAGAGAGAAGATTCTGGAATTGCTGTCCTGACGACAGGATACATACCTAGGCCAGGCCCATTGGGGAACTGAGGCAGGGCCTCCCTCACTGGCCATCAGCCTCCAGTGTCACTTTCAAGGCCTGGAGAAATTGTGAGAGAGGCCACAGAGCTCAGTCTAAGGATGGGCAGCAGTTTACTCAGATAAGAGAGGAAGGAGAGGATGACAGTGCAGGCTCAGTGATTGTACACTGAGGGCCTTCAGTGGCCAATGATTCTGAATTAGCTCTGTGTTCTCTCTTTGCTCTTTCTCAGATGTAAGCTTCCACTATTTTAATGGAAAAAATAAATACTCACTCATATAAAACATAAGGTGTAAGAGGATACAGATACACACATATATGTAGGTCTCCCTTCTACCCTAGATCGTTAGCTGCCCTGTGACCCTCCCTGGAAGCAAACACTAATAATCTTAAAGATAATGCTTAAGATAAGTATGTACACACACAGAGGTGTATGTGCATGTGTGGGCGTATCCACTTTTTACACAAATAGAAACATACTATACCCACTTTCGCTCCTGGCTTTTTAAAAATAGGAATTAATACCCATAGGTATTAAGGAGGGTATGTGCCATGATGGGCACTGGGTGTCATATGTAAGTGATGAATCACTAAATTCTACACCTGAAACTCATATTACACTATATGTACACCTGAAACTCCTATTACACTGTACGCTAACTAACTGGAACTTAAATAAAAACTTGGGCATAAAAAAGTAGGGGTTAATATGTAAAATCTAGAGGTCAGCTTCCCAGAACCCAGGGGAGGGTAGAGAAGGGTGGAAGGTATATCTGGAGGGATGAATGGGGAGTACCCCGCACACCAGCAATGGCAGCCAGACAAATAGTGGGAAATACTACTCTCACCAGTAAAACATGCTGAAGCATCTCCTTAGGGGAGGCATTTAAATCATGGTCAAAAAAAAGAATCAATCAATCAATCAATCAATCATGGTCAGATGCTGACAACAGAGGAGCTGATTTCAGAAAGAAGACTGATCATTGCCTACATGACTCCCTATAGATTCAGAAAGACCAGCAGCTGCCACCCTCTCCTACCTCCAACCCTATCTCCCCCAGAATGCCAGAAGATGCCGATTTGGTGACCACTGCTCAAAGTTTTCTAAGCCATTTTCTAAAGGATGCTGACACAGACTTGGTGAGATGACATTAATTTTACCCTCCTCCCAAGAGAATAAAAAACTTTGGGAGCAGCTCATAAAGATCCTGGTGCCAGTGCTATCATTAAAATACCTCACTAAGCACTGAGTACACATTTTTTTTTAATTATTAGCTGGTTCTCCCTTCTCTCCCCCACAGACATTGTGCTTTATAAGTCTCTCTACAAGTTTCCATTCCAAATGACACCTTGTCTTTTAAATTTGAACAGCTCAGGGAGGTGTATAATAAATAATAATAGTAGAGAATAAATAATAATAATAATAGCTACCATTTATTCTCATTTGGTCTCACAACCACTACATGAGACCTTATTTTTATCCTTCTTTTCAGATAATGAAGTTGCAGCCTGTCACAGTTAAGAAATGTGCCCAAGTTCACATAGTAAGCTAAGAGGCAGATCTGAGTCTCACCCTCCAGGCCTGGCCTCTGCCTACCTCAGAAGACCAAAAGGCAGAATGAGGGGCCCATATGTCTGTCTGCTGCCCTCTCCCCACTAGCTCACACCTATGGCTCTATCTTCTGAGGCCAGATCTGGGGTTGCTGAGAATCCCCAACCCTTTATGAAGGTTGGTTGGGTGTGCCGACAGCTGTTGCTGACAGTGCTGGGCAAAATGTAAATTTGCCATTCCCGGTGGTAAAGGGAGGTCAGTCAACATGGTAGAGGGAGGCGAGTCAAAGTGGTAGAAGGAGATGAGTCAAAATCACAGAAAGAACATCGGTTGTAAGTCAGAACGACTGGAGAAACATATCCAGGCTCTGCCCCTTTCAGGCTATGGGATGCTGGGCCACTTCCTGAAATTCCCTGAGCCGTAGTCTGCTCACTTGAGAATAGAGTCAGTGATGGCTCTTGTGTCACATAATGTTGCCGTGATGATTAGGTAAGATGATATGTATAAAGTCCTTGGCACACCATTTGGAAGATAATAGTTTTCTTCCCTTTCCTCTTCCAGATGGGGCAAGTTTACAGGCCCTATCCTGGGCATTGGAAGAATTTCAACATCTGCTAGCAAAAAAGGCAAAACTATAGAGACTCTCTAAAGTGTAGTAACAGGTGTATTTCAGGACACAAGCAGGGACAAAGGTGTTCCTCATCTCACATTGTCCGCAGTAACACTATCCTTAACAGCCTGCTTCCCATCCTGCCCCTGACCAGTCCTAGAATTCCCTAAAAAAGAGAATTGCCTGTATTCACCCACCACCTGCCCTCCACCTCAGATTCAAATTAGAGACCTGGCATCCTTAACAAAGATGTCTTAAGAAGCCTTCCTCTCTTTGCTTTCAACCTTTTTTTTTTTTTAAGATTTTATTTATCCATGAGAGACATACAGAGTGAAAGAGAGAGAGAGGCAGAGACATGGGCAGAGGGAGAAGCAGGCTCCATGCAGGGAGCCTGACATGGGACTCGATCCTGGGTCTCCAGGATCACGCCCTGGGCTGAAGGCGGTGCTAAACCACTGAGCCACCCGGGCTGCCCTCTTCAACAACCTTTTAATGCCTCCATACCAGCACTTTTCTGGGGGCTGCCTTGTTCCCAGGAGCCTCTGGCCTGTTGCTCTATGACACCTCCTACCCCCAGCCTCCCAGGCCACATTGCTCTGTGACTCTTAACACAGCATTCAGAAAGATCCACCTGTCTGTCTAGACTGAGCCCTTCAAGGACAGACATGTTTGCAGTCCCAGCGTAGAGCAGTGTCTAGCATGTAATCACTGGGTAATTTTCTTTGTAAGTGAACTGTGAGCAACACAAAGATGAGTTGGACCTCCACCCCTCAAGGAACTGACAACATAATCTCCCCCCACCACCCTCACAACTTAATGATCCTCTGTGTGTGCTAACACTACCAAAGAGGCAAGGCAAGGGCAGGCTGTGGGCCAGAGAGAAAGAATTCCTTCTGACTGAGGAACTGGTGGAAGCCTCCATGAATGAGGCAGCATATGAACTGAGACATAGTGAGGGGGTAGGTGGGTCCAGCCCTTGCTTCCCAGAGCTCCGTGTAGATTCAACGGTGGAGACACCGCACGTGATATGGGGCCATACTGTGTGCTCTCCACTGATGTCTCATAGTTGGCAAATGGCTTTGCTTTCTCCTTTTCTCTCACTCACAGGAGACCCCACTGTGTGCTCCATCTCCAACCCTGACTTTGTCATCTACTCTTCAGTGGTGTCCTTCTATGTGCCCTTTGGAGTGACCGTCCTCGTCTATGCCAGGATCTACGTGGTGTTGAGACAGAGGAGACGGAAACGGATCCTCACTCGACAGAACAGTCAGTGCATCAGTGTCAGACCCAGCTTCCCTCAACAAGTAAGCACCCTGGAGGGGCAGAGGGAGAAAATACCCAACCCTGTAGCTTCCCAGCCTTGTGTCCAGCAGTACGTGTGTTTGCTTGTACTGCCACACTGGAGACACACAGCTGACACCCACCTTCTAACCTGCTGCTATGCTTTACAGTAGGAAATTGAATCAAAAAGGTGCATTATAATCTTCCCTAGAGCTCACATTGCTTGGCACAATGATAGGATAGTTTCTGGACTTCTGCTTCCCATCAGAGCTTTTCCATTGCCCCCACATGGCCAAGGGTACAAATGTCACACAAGATTGGCTGTTTTAGTGTGACAGTTGTACTGTGCACTGCTGGCAGGTCCCCAGGATTGACTTCTTAGCAGACCACTTGTTCCAAGAATCACTGGGTCCATGGAACCTCTTTTCCTTACTAGATCTGCCACTGTGTCAAGGTGCTGACCAGCTTGTGAAATAGAAGGCTGATGACGTGTGTGTTACTGGGCCTTTCAAGGTGCTGAAAAGGAGAGCTGTCTCAGCACCAATCTTCCATTTGCTTGGGCTGGAAAGTCTGCTTATCCCAGTGTCTGGCACATGCCTGCCAACTGCTAGGGAAGGGACAGCGGGAATATTATACAGCCCTTATGGAGTTTAGACTCTAGACAAGCAGATAAAGCACACCTCTACCTGACGTTAACTAACAGCCCCTGGATGTTTGCAAAATGAGATGAAGACAATTAAGCACCAAAAGAGAAGTGCTGTAGAAGTTGTGAGAGGTCAATGTGCTCAGGAAAGGGCTTCATAGACAGAGTAAGAACTGAATTTGATCTTGAAGGCAGGTCCAATGTGGATGGCGAGATTAACCTATAATGACCTGAGTAAGAGTCAGTCTCTCAAAGTTCAAGTCCCATGGTTTAGGTAGTACAAGAATATTGGTTCCCATGAAATAGAAGGCAAGGACCTGAAGCTGAGGATATGAACAAACATTAAAGGTATTCGAAACATTGGCATCTATATGGTTCACCCATGTAGAACTTGACCTACAGCTCTTTCTCCTTCAACCCACCCTAGTCTTCCTGTCTGAGGCTGCACCCCATTCGGCAGTTTTCAATAAGGGACAGATTTCCATCAGATGCTACGGGGCAAATGGTAAGTAAGCCATGTCTTTAATCATAGGAAAAAAATAACACTCTGACTTGACTTGCTTCCACGTCTACCTCAAAATGGCCCCAAACCCTTACTTATATCTATTGTATATAACAAATATGAGATCCTAATTTGAGCTTCAGAATACGAATCACCCAATGATATGCAGAGAGCATATCACTACTGAGCTATATTCCAATGACTGGAGTCAATGACTCTTGGACATGGTGTTAGGATGCCATCCAGAGTCAACTGCCTAGAGGGAACAGGATGTCAATGAAACATACATGGTCAGAGCCAAGAAAAGCAGAGAAGAGAGGCTAATGTGAGACTTTCAAGTGTCCCATTTCCCACTTTCTATGAAAGAAAACCAAGACAATCTCATGGTCACCCTTATCCTTGTCCTTTCAATTCAAGCCAGCCCTGCCTCCCCAAGCAAGCTGAGTGCAGAATGGAGGTGTTAGAAAGAAGATCAATATTCCTCCCCCTGAACTCCAAGTAAATATTAGGAATAAAATTTCAAAACCTCATGATGATGAAGGTCCAAGCTTTGTCCCATCTCTGTATAGTTAGCCACATTTCCCAGAGGCCTGGCGTAGCAGTGAGAGCTTCTTGCTGTAAATAATTTTTTAATAGGTAAGAATTTTAAAGTTGCCGATAGCAGATCTAAGGTCTGAGGAGTTTCCAAGGCCAAAAGGAAAAGAGTGGAGACTACTGAAGAGAGAATAGGGAAGCAGGAGGCTGGTGTTGCCAGGAGTATGGAAAAATAGGTTCTGTCCTAGCATCTGGGAGTGAAAGGCTCTGGCAACCAGACCCAAAAGAATCCAGTGTTTCTGCATGCCAGTCAGAGAAGTATTGATGAGGGTTTGCAGAGAGCTGAAAAATATGTAATCTGGGAAGGATCACTTTCCTTCTGTAGGACTGAATTTCCACATCTGTAAAATAGAGACAAGTTTAGGTCAATGTTCTAAAACCTTAGATTTCATAAGGACAGTCAAGAATTTGTCCCAGTCCCTTAGTTTCAGAAATAATGCATTTGAAGTTAAATATTGTCACTTTTAGAAGATTACTAGATTCCAGCACAATCATAATCTTAGTTACAAATGGCCATTCAGATAAAACACAATATGTTTATATTAATTATTTAAAACCCCCATCTAAGGTGCCTGGGTGGCTCAGTCAGTTAAGCATCTACCTTCAACTCAGGTCATGATCCTAGGGTCCTGGGATGAGTCCCACTCTGGGCTCCCTGCTCAGTGGGGAACCTGCTTCTCCCTCTCCCTCTGCTTGCCACTCCCCCTGCTTGTGCTCTCTCTCTCTCTCATATAAATAAATGAAATCTTTTTTTTAAATCCATCAAAATGAAAATCAAAAATGTTTAAGTATACTAGAATCCCGATGAATACCTCTGCGAGGCACATTTTCAAAAATACCATATTGTTTTAAAGGCCTATTGCATTCATTCATTCAGCAATGTTTCTGAGTGTGTACAGTGCACTAGTACTATGATTCCTTGAACTACAGAGTTATGAGCATTCTTGGTTGTTGACACTAACATATAGACAAAGGAATTTACCGGAAGGATATCAAGTAGCTCAGACTCATTGAGAAGGCTGAGAATAACTTCAGACAATGCTGTTCATGCCTAAGGAAGAATCTGGTTGGAAGACCTGGGACACTGGACACTAATTGCCACCACTCCTAGACAAATTCTGAAGTCTCCTGGCTTCACAATCAAGGTCTTAGATGCAAATCTCTAATTGGCTGGGCATGATTTATGTGCCAGAGGTCTAGATGACTGGTGGGAATGTGGGGAGAGTGCATATATGGCTTTTATAGCTTCAGTAATGGGAGCTAAGGGGCCCTGCCTGCTACTTGAGATTGACACAGTATCTGATTCTTCAAATATGGAAAGAAGTTCAGATGTTGAATACACATAAATCCTCACCAAATACCAGAAATGTCCACATACTCTCAGGGTCTATTCATCCTAAACCTACTTTTTCCAACTTCTTTTCTGTTTTACAAATGAGGCTCAAAGACATTTCATTAATGCCCAAGGATACACCTAATAAGTAGGAAAGCTGAGGTGAAAATACTAAGTTATCTTCCTTTCTGTCTTTCTCTTTCCTTCTTTCTTTCTCTTTTTTCTTTCTTTCTACTTTTTATTATAGAAGATTTTCGAAATTAAAAAAGTAGAAAGACAAATATAAGGGAGCCTTCAGTAGCCATGAGCCGGCTTCAGCAATTCACTCATGGCCAATCTTCTTTCATTTCACCTACACTCCCACCTATACTCATCCATGCCCATTGGATTCTTCTGAGGCAAATCCCAAACATCATAACATTTCAGTCACAAATATTTCTGTAAGACTCCCTAAGGGATACAGACTCTTTATAAAATGTATTACTACGATACATCACCCTAAGCAAATAAATAACTCCCTAGTATCATTAAATATCCAATCAGTATCATTAAATATCCAAAATATCAAATAATGTTCACATTATCCCAGTTGTCTTTATAGTTGGTTTATTGGAATCAAAATTCAAATAAGACCTATACTTTGCAACTGGTTAGTGGTATTGTTGTTGTTGCAATTTATTTGTTGAAAAAAAAACTGAGTCATTTGTCTTACAGAGTTCACCACATTCCAGATTTTGTGGTTTACATCTCAGTAGCTTCATTTCACATGTTCTTCTATACATCCAGGTCATTCTAACTGAAAAAGGATGTAATATAATCCTATACTATAATCCTATACTACCCTCCTCAAGGGATTACTGCGATTCTCAAATGTTCTATATCTGGTAGGAGTCTTTTCGCTGTCAAGTCAGAAGCAGACTTCATGTACCTTAACTTTCATGATCCCACTACTCTCAAGTGACCCTCAGTATGTTTCACAAAATGATCGTTTCCTTGAACTTCTTTACAAACTCTTTTCTTTTCAGGAACATTCAGAAGATAAAGGGTATCCCCAGAAATGTCAGGACCCTCTCTTGTCCCAACTGCAGCCACTCTCCCCTAGCCGGGCCCACATGGAGCTGAAGCGCTACTACAGCATCTGCCAAGATACTGCCCTGGGGCAGCCAGGCTTCCAAGAAGCAGGAGGGGAGTTGAAAAGGGAGGGGAGGACTCGAAACTCCCTCAGCCCCACCATGGCACCTAAGCTCAGCTTAGAGGTTCGAAAACTCAGTAATGGCAGGTTGTCGACATCTCTGAAGCTGGGGCCCTTGCAACCTCGTGGAGTGCCACTCCGGGAGAAGAAGGCAACGCAGATGCTGGCCATTGTGCTTGGTGAGTTGGAGCCACGTTGGACTGGGATGAATTGGGTTAAATCTGGTTAGGTTAGGTTGAGTTTGGCAAACCTGGCAGAGCACCACATTTGTCAGCAATGAAAGTCCAATAACTATGATATTTATGAATGTTCGTGATACAATTGAAAAGGGTTTGCGCGTAAACAATAAATCTGGTGAAAATCCAAAGGCCTAGGCTGAAATTCACAAAATAAAAAACCGAACAAGTGACCTAACTGAGCTCTGTTTCTCTATTGTGTTTGTTGTCTGTCACATGAAATTATAATGGATAAATCGAATAATAAATAAGATCATCATTCAAAAAAAGTGTCTGGCGCATATTGGATATTTAATAAATGCTTACTTATTCTAAAATATTAAGTGAAAAAAATAGGGATGCAAAAACTGCTGTCATATGGTGTGATAACATCTAGATCATTTCAAATACGGAGAAAGGAAAAACATGAAAATTAATTCACCAAGATGTCAAAAGTGATTGTCTTCAAGTGGTGGGTGGTTATTTTTTTCTTTGTACTTTTCTGTATTTACCAAGTTTTCCATAATGTACAAAATCAGGGTTAATTTTTACAGTAGAATAATAGAAAATGTACTCAAAAAAGAAAAAAATTTAAAAAAAACAAAAAAGAAAAAAATTGGCAAGTCGCAGGTAGCATATAGAGTTCGTGAAGGCAATGCTTCCAGTTCACTGCCACTGACAAAGCTCACTTTCTCATATCTCAGGGACTTTGTGAGCACATCTGGCTGTCATCTCAACAGCAGGACTGTCAGCCATGTCTTTGAGGTCGTCTTTACTATCAGTGCCCAGGATCATGCCTTGCACAGCTAGACATTAAATAAATATTTGAATTGACTTGAGACGTAGAAAACACTAGTAAAGAGCTACCTAAATGCCAAACTTGATAAATTGATTTAGGAACAAAGGCCTGAGATGAATCAAAGATGTAAACATGTAATTTTCTCTTCCAAAAGAAAGGGGAAAAAAGTGGCTGATCACATGTATTTCGTAGGGTTGGTGGAAAAATTAAATGGGTCTATAAAATTCCAGCATGGTGGCTGGCACAAAGCAAACAACAATGAGTCATTTTCATGTTGTAACAAAAGGAAAAGCAAACCCCTTACCAGTGTCTCTCTTCCTTTGCAACCCAGGGGCCTTCATTGTCTGCTGGCTGCCCTTCTTTTTGACCCACGTTCTCAATACACACTGCGGAGCCTGCCACGTGTCCCCAGAGCTTTACAGCGCTACTACGTGGCTGGGCTACGTGAACAGTGCCCTCAACCCCGTGATCTATACCACCTTCAATGTGGAGTTCCGCAAAGCCTTTCTCAAGATCCTGTCTTGCTGAAGGAGAGGAGAGCATACTCCCTGTGCCCACCCTTAGCTGCCAGGCCATTGGGCCACTGGCCAGGACCTGCGCAGAAAGACTGTGCTATGTTCTCTGGCATGGCGTAGGAAGGAGACTCCTGGAGCCAGGACACCTCTGAGTGGCAGGTGTAACCAACTGCTTCTTCCCTATCAGAATGTTTACGTCCCAGCAAAAATCTGACTTCATCCTGGCAATCTTCAAGTGGTTGGGAGGTCCCTGAGTTATAAGTAATAATTCAGAAAGAAGCTGATAAAACATGACCCTCCACACACACAAAATTGTCATTAGAGGCATGATTCATCACAGTGAAGGAGAAATGAACAGATCTCATAATTGTCAACTCGCCAGGGGTCCTTGAAATCCCAGCCAGTAAACCATCTTGCAGAAATAGACAGTCTCTCTTCCTTCAAGCCTATAATTAAACTATCAGGCTGACCTTGTACTTTTGCAGGCCCACACCCTTTTGGTCATTCCTTTTGTTCATTGTTTGCTGAATTATAAGGGTACAGCCAGTGCTTCTACCTCTCCATAGAATCTGGCCGCAACTGGGGAGAGAAATTCTGAGGGAGACATTGTCCCACATTGGGACCTGGGCTTCCTTTCAAACCTTGCTACTCCTGTATTATAGCTCTCACTATTAAGGCCCTTTGACTCCAACCCCCCGTTCTTAGAGATTCAATTCCAGAGTAATTCAGAACGAGTAGGTCAAGTGAAAAAGGAGTGATGGCTCCCACCGTAGTATCACTTTAAACCATGTGGTTCATAACATGCCTTCGGTATGCTTTTCATAACACTATAAGGTGTTCCTACCCAGGCATCTTTATCTCCTGCTTAACAGAGATCCAATACTTTCAGGCCCTAAACCCATTAAGTCTTAAGTGTCCACAAAGTGCCCGTCACCTCCCAGGCTCTGGATATATGACAATGAATAAGACAGCTCCTGCCCTCAAGGGCTCAAGGAGCCCACCACCTGCTCCTGCGTTTGTTCACTTGCTTATAAAAGTGGTAGAGACTCTTCTAGACTGCCAGAGGACCTCAGAACTGAAGGCACTGGGCAGAGTAGCTGTCCAAAGACCTCACAGGGACAGTCTTCATAAAGGCCTAGTGCAGAACCTGAACAAGACCACTCCGACAACTGAAATTAAAGGCATTATAGAAATAATGTGTCGATGTCATTCAAAATTGCATTTAGAGGGACCTCAAATATTCTCACCACTTACCTTTTCACCTATAGAAGCTATGTCTTATTGACTAGAGAATCAAGATACAATTTATGGATGATTTATGAAGTGTTATCATCCTGAACTTCAATAAATTTACTATTAAGTAAGAGCTATTAGTGCACAGGTGTAACAGATGCCCACTGCAATGCTGTTAAAATTTTAAGGTTCGCACGAACTTTACAAAGAATCCAAGACTTCTTTGCCCCATATTTATTCCTCTAACCTTTAAGTGTATAAGAAGGAAATATATACCCCCAGTGACTTAGTTACCTGTTACTCCTGAATGCTTTTAATGCCAGCATTTTAAAAATGTTATTGCCTATAGCAGGATTTATGTTGTAACTCTAGTGGAAAAATTCTGTGTGCCCACTAGCTCTCGTACCATGCCATCTAGCTCAAAGGTTTACAATGCAAGCAGAACTAGGGACTGAGACAGTTACATATCCGAAGAAGTACAAGTACATGATTCCTAGATTTTTCCATGCAAAACACACAAAAAACAGGTAGGACAATGAGTTAATTGTTAATTGTTAATTCATAAAATTTCATGTCAAAGTTAGAGTTCTAAAAATAAAAACGTAGACAGCGTCTGTATTAATACATTTATGAGGAAGAATGATAGCAAATATTGTGTATCCTTCCTTTACATCAAGTCGTTAAAGCTTATGATAACCTTTTTTTTTTTAAGCTTATGATAACCTTAAGAAGATAAACTCAGTTTTGGAGGTGAGGAAACCGGCTAAGGGAGGTCAAGAAATTTGCCCCAGGGCACACACAGTAAGTGGCAGAGCTGGGATTCGAGTGCACGTCTACCTCATTCGCAAGCCCATGCAACTAACCACTATGATACACTGCTTTCTACCAGAGAGGTAAAGAGGTGGGAGGAAAAAAGTGGGGAGAAAAAAAATGGAACAAAGGTCCCTGGGAGAGCCACAGCCTACCTGACCCACCTCCAGCCCTAAACTTTCTGAAGACCCAGCCCAAGGCACTGCTCTCACTCTCCTGCCATGTTCAACTTCCAAAACAGTCACACAGGAAATTCATAATCTGTTTTTACAAAGCATGTAACAGACCTTAGAGAGTATTTGGTCCTAGTATCTACTTCATTTATATAAAAGGAAACTGAAGTCCAGAACTATGTCCCAGTTGGCTACTGACAGACAAATGCTCCAGTATACTGAACTCTTCTATAAAAACGATAAACTCCATATTGATACAAGGAGAAAGTCATCCTATCACCTTCCCCATTACACTAAGAGGCATCTTTTCCCTAGACAGCAGCTCTTATCTCTAATCTAAGATAACATCCCCTTCCCAGAATTTTCTTCTGATCCAGGAAGAGCCTTCTAGGGAAATCCCAACACTCACTTGAGCCTCTTCATCCTGGGATTCTTCATACTACCCCCTATACCTCTATACTCCCCACCATGAGCCAGCACTTAACCTCAGAGCTTGCTACTTTCAGAGCCAACATGACCAAAAATTTCAGGAGAGGCATTAGCCTGAATGAAGTAGAGCAGAGTTCTTGGGGCAAACCTGTTCTGGGGCCCAAAGAAGGCTCAGAGCTGGCCATACTATTTGGGTGAAATGCAAATAGAACAGAAATCCAGATAGATTACAACCAACATCCAACTCTAGATCGTAAGTAAATATTTCCTTCTTCCAGAACTGCATCCTCTAAAACTCCTTTCATCACTCATTTACTAAATCAGTTACTTATTCAATAAATATTGATTTACCACCTTCTGTGTGCCAGGCAGAGTACTCAGTGCTGGGAAACACCATCAAGGGAGACAGAGTCCATGACTCCAAACTTGTAGTGCAGTGGGGAGGGGAATTTGTGTGTACACTGATGACCTGCTTTTTGTCTACAGTAAAGGGAATTCATGGTTTTTGTAAGTCCTATATTCAGCCCTAAGAAGGCTTCCCAGACAAGTATTGTCGGGTTAAGACATAATTAAAAAGTAGGAAATGCATTCCAGGCAGAGAAAACCATTGAAGAGCCAAAGATATGAACAAGCAAGGAGCATGCAAGCAATCTCAAATAATTCCACCGGCTGTAGAGAAGAGACCATAGAACAGGCAAGGAAAGAGTCTCATCTTCGGAGACCTCCTCCAGCTCTGCTCAAGTGACAAGTGAGTTAGTGGTGATACCACTTGCAAAAAACCTCTGGATCTTTCCTCCACTTCCCTCCATGTGGGCAACACACATCACAGACGACTTACTTAACTGACTTATTTAATTACTTCCCTCTGAGCCACAGTGAATTTCAATAAATGCAGAATTCAATTTGAATTCTTTGCTCTTTTTTCTGCAAGAGGAGGAATGCCTGGCTGAATGGATGTAGAGTCAGAGATGGTTAAAATGAAGGCAGTTCAGAGAGTTTGGGTCAGAAATCGAGGGGAGGTCAGGCAAAGAGATTTGTTTTCCTGAATGCTTGGGTCAGGACTACATAGTGAAGCAGAACAGTTCAGAGATTTGCTCAGAACTGGCTGTTTCCTGCAGGTCCTGACTCCCAGGCCTGTGCTCTCATCCTTTGGTATCTGCTGACATCAGAAAACTGAAAAAGCTTAATTTGAATCAACACACAAAGAGCAGAGAGGGGATGACAGGCAATTAACTTGATTCCTCCTTTCTACCTAATTCTCTCCTCATCAGCTTAGGAAGGGAGTGAGTTTCCATGACTACCTCCTGACACGGAGACTCAGTGGAGGGTGATACCAATGTCAGCTCAGCTCTGTTGCACACATTGACAGAGGCAGAACCTGGGAGTCAGTGCCAAGCATGAGTCTTGGGACCTCTTGCCCCACCCACCCCAGTAGCCTTCCTCACTAGACAAAGATTAGACAACATCATAAATTAGAAGTGCTTTGCCAACTATACGGTTCTAACAAATGTGAGAGATTATCACTGATATCATCACCATCATCATCATCATCATCATCATCATAAACATCACCCCCCCCCAAGCAGCTATTTTTATCATTCCTATCTGGTTCACAGCCCATCTTTCTTTCTCTTTGCTGATTCTCTAATTGTCTCATGTTATCAGGCACAATCTGTTCAGCCTCCCACATGAAATCTGATTTTTCTCTTGTCTTTTATTCCCTACATGTGCCCAGGATACTTGGCTGAATTTGTAGTGAAGTTTTTAGGCAAATGGCTAGTCCCTAACAGCACACCCTTTCCCTGCTCACCCAGTCACGTGCCCAAGTATAGCATGATCTGATGCCAGGCTGATGGTAGATGTGTGTTTGCTAAGGATGGCCTGGGGAGTTCCTTCCTGTTCCTCTCCTGGCTGGGGAATGATGAGCAGAAAGCATGTATTCCTCAAGACTTTCCATCTTTGTTCCTCATGATGTCTGAGCCTTTCCTCTTTCTCCATCTCTTCCTTCCTGAAAGAAGTGCACTGAATATGGTGCATTCATTTCCTAGGGCTGCTGTATCAAATGGCCACAAACTGTGTGGCTTTACACAACAGAGACTTCTCTCGTAGTTCCAGAAGCTCCAAGTCTAAAATCAAGGTGTTGGCAGGACCACACTCTCTCTGAAGGCTGTAGGGGGTGATCTTTGCCTCCTCCTAACTTCTGGTGGTTGCCAGCAATCTTTGGTGTCCCTAACTTGGGGCAGCAGAACTCCATTCTCTCCTCCATCTTTACATGGTATTGCTCTTTCATTTTGTCTATGTTGTGTTTTCCTCTTCTTCTAAGTCTTCAAATTAAAATCCACCCTGATCCAATGTGACCACATCTCAA